TCAGCGTAGGTGATGTTCGGACCAGTGAAGAGAGACGAGGATCGCAATTTCATCGAGATCGGCTGAATAGTTTCGATCTGACCTAGGTTAGCTTCCGGAAGCGGGCCATCTGTTGAGGCACGATAAGCCAACGCCCAATCCTCAATGATAAGCGCCGAAATCATTCGAGGCAGAGCGAATTCTGAGTCGAGGAACTTGAGTAAGTGTTTGGTAAACAACGGAAGTTGATCGAAACGGGTCAGGCTCGACATCAGGTATCCCAAGGCCTTCGAGACCGCCAGACGGCCCCGCAGGATGTCATCGATTGAGACCAGCGAGAGATCTTGAGCCATGATTGACTTGTCGACATTGTGGACCAAGTTCAGATCTTGGGTCGCCATAAATTTCGAGTTTGGGACAGCCGTAAAGAAGAAAGCGGGGTCCAACTTCTTTGTCCTTGGCGTTGCCACGAGTTGAAGCCATCCTTCAACATGAGAGCGAACTATACCAACCAAAAGTTCGACAGTTGGCGAATTCTCGATTAGCTTGTCGATTACCATGTTCCATACGTCATTCGAAAGACAGCGAATCTCGCCTCGCTCCTCGACAAGCATGTTTTGAAACAAAAGCCGTAAGACTCGCTCGTCAATCCAAGATCCGATGTCGAGGTCAGGCATTTGGAGAAAGACCGCGAGCGCTTTGACGACAGATAGCCGGACGCTAGAGATGGTATGGCGGAAGAAGGGGAATAGACGTGGAATAAGCGAGGGAAGAGTGCGACCGCCGAGGGTTGAAAGTTGAGCCAAGACACTGGGGTAGGTGATCAGGTTGGCTATATAAGAGAACAGGTCAAGTGTGAATTGAAATTAAGCGGAAAAAGAACAGAAGGGGAGCGTCGCCTACCTAACAGGTCCATTATATTGCCAACAGAGCTTGATAAATCGTCCTTCGAGCTGCCTAACGCGTCCCATAGTACATCGAGTAGTTCTGTGAGCATCATCGGAAGTCCCTTGACAATGAGATCGGTGACAGGCAAGAGCGTTCCTGATGCAGCAGCGCGCACGTCATCGTCTTGGTCCCGAAGTCCGATAAGCGAAGACTTGACGATGATCGACAAGAGGTTGGGAAAGGGTGTGGAAGCGGGTGGTAAAGAACTAGCGGAAGTTGATGGATCGGTTTGGTGAGAGACGGGATCAGTAAGAAGCTTCTTCTCTTCCAGGCTCTCATCTTCGTCGACCGCTCCCAGAAGCAGGGGCTTGACGTCGGACGTCCCATCACTCTCGAAATGAATCAAATGAGTGACATGATCCGGGTCGGCGAAGTCGCGTCGCAAGACAGCAATTTTGACGGCAACTAGATACTTCATAGCCAGGAGACCGGCGTGCCGGACTTGCCACACATACCCTCGCTGACCCGGCATTTTCGATTGCTTCTGTTCCACCATGCCACTCAAAACCTCCAACATCCGCCCCAACCGATCTCGATCCATCCACCTTCCGACCAGACTGATCCCTTGTGCACCCGTCTCCCTCACCGGAGCCACCACCTGATCGCCGACGTAGTCCCCAAATCTATCCAGACTCATCAAACAGACCAATCGCAACCCGAGGTCTTCCATCCAGATCTGATGATGATGGTGATTAGAAGCTTGGGTGGCTCCGATCGATTTACCAGTGCCGAAGCCTTGAATTTTGAGGATGGGGATCAAACCAAGGGCAGCACCGTGGCGGTACTCCCATTGGGATGAGAACATATCGATCATCAAATTCTCCACAAAGGACGCAAACGGCCATTCGCCCTCGACGTACTGTAACCGGTTCTCGGACTGGGCACCATTGGCAGACGTGTTCACCTCGCCACCGCCATTCTGTTTAGCATTTTCGGCTGCCGTACGCGCTTTAGCTTTCGCACCCGGATCAACTATCACTACGTTCTCTCTAGAAAGTCCGATTGGCGGGAGTGCAGGTGATGGCAAGACGTCTTGGTCGGAACCAGGACCAACTTGATGACCGGCACTACTAGAGAGAGGTAAAGCGGGTACAGCCACTCGCGATCCGATTTCACCTGGTAGAGTTCCAGCTTGTTCGATTATTCGTAGCTTAGCGGGACCAGAGGTGAGTGTGCCATCACCATTTGAAGGGACGACCGGCGTGGCAGTGTTGGCAGAGGCAGGGAGAGAACTGGAAGCAGCGGAGGAGGAAACGGCGGCGACAGGAGCTTGTCCGAGAGCTTTACGTTTTCGTTTCAGTGCGTTGCGCTCGCGAGCTGAGAGTCCCTCCAAATTAGGTTCAGAGGTGTCGGCAGAATTGAGTGATGGTAAAGGCATGTTGACAGTAGTTGGGGTCTGTCGAAACGGCAAGAGGCTGTCTTCATCAGTAAGAGCGGGGCTTTGTATAGATTGCTGCTGTGGATGGTGACTGTCGAGGGCAGGAGGGAAGATGGAAGCCAGCGAATTGGAGGATGAGCGTAAAGAAGATGATACCAAGGCCGGTGGAGTTTCAGATGTGCGTTCGTCAAGTTCCATCAACGGACCAGGTCGAAGAGGGATTCGAGGTGACTGTTCGGGAGTAAACGACATGGCACCATCGGCACCATCTTCGAGTTCTTTACCGACGTCCATTCCTACTGAGTCCATGTCCAGCCCACCAAAACAGCCGAGACCTAAACCGAGCTTGCTGGCCACATCCCGCTTAGCAGCCATGAGAGACTCGCGGGAGCGTCCATGGCCCGATCGTTGATCGAACTCCTTTCCGGCTGACGAGAGAAGAATGGTTCCTTCACGTAAGACGGCGTCGAGGTCAAAGTTCTCGAAGGAAAGCCCGACCCGACTGGCGCTTGCTCGGTTAGGGTTGTCTAGGATAGACGTTTTCAATTTTGAGGAAGGTGATCGAGGCTGATCGAGCGCCTCCGTCTCGCTAGCGGTCGGGTCCCATATACCAACGGCCTTGGCGATTGCCCCGACAGCCTCTCCAGCCGCTAGCCGAGTCTCCCAGTTTTTTGAGCGGAGGTAGGGCAGCACGCGACTGAGGAGATTAACAATCTCATTCCATTGCCCATCGATACCCCTCCAATCGTGAAGAACAGTGGTCGATCCAGATGGGGCAGAGGTCGAAGCAGAGGCAGCTGTGGGAGCCGAAGCATGTTGAATGGTCTGTGCCGCAATTTGACCCAACTGGCGGGCAGCGGTGAGACGAACAGATGGCGTCGAGCCGGTGTCGAGAAGAAGCAAAAGACGGTCTAGCCTGAGTGGGTGACGGAAGTGTGAAAGAGAGGAGAAGAAGAGAGAGAGGTGAGTATATGCGGCTGTAAGGTTGGGTATATAGAGGGTGAGAACTCAGGTCAGACGAATGAAGAAAAAAAAAAAAAAACCATCAACGAGAGGGGAGTAAGATACGGATAGCTGAGCGCTGAGCGGGCCGGGCCGGGGTCGGGTGAGAACTGACCGGGTTGTCATGGTAACAGGTGTATCTGTTATATGGCTCTTATTACCAAAATCGAAGAAAGACCCGCTGCTGCGGGCAAGGTAGTCAAGGGTGGGGTAGCTAGCGCTTAGATTTGGAAGGAGGGCGATGACGTGGTGATTTGCTAATGACCAGGCTCCTTATGACAAGTCCCCGGAGCACTGGGTGTGTTGGTCTGAGTGGCGATCGAGCGCAGGTGTGGTCGGAATCGCGTATGTAGGGTTGAAGTCTGTTGGATGGGAATTGCGTGGGTGGGAGGACCGGGTTGATAATTATTAAAATCTTAAATGAGCAAGAAGCACACCATGTATCCCCTCCTTGGATGACCGAAAATAGCGCGCGAGAAGGGGAACTTAGCGGGCAGGCAGAAAAGGGGTGTGTGACGAGTAGGTACCAATACAGGCCCACACCGATCCCGTGAGCATGTGCAAACAAGCTTGGTTGGTTGATTAGATGAACCGAGCCAGGGGCGGGGGCGGGGAGCGTAGGAAAAAGGTTGGGCGTGATGAGGGTAGAGACTAGAAGGGAAATGCGCGAGCAAAAGGGCACCGCGTGCGCAAATGTTTAAAACCTCAAGCCAGAGACGCGCGGTGTAACTGTACTGAGTCGTTTAAAGGAGGCGTATGCTACAACAGCACTATAAAACGGACGGGAATGGCGAAGATAAGGGCAAAGGAAGGGGGGATCGGACTCTGCCAGGCCCACGATTGCTCAGTTGCTTTTTATGGATGTCGAGTGACCACCGAACCTCGAACACCCATGGTCAAGAAGTCAAAATTGGGGGGGTGAGAGACAGGAAGGAGTGTGAGTGTAAACTGTAATCGATTAGAGGTGGTCTGTGCCACTTGGTCTCGACTGACCGGCCGAGTTGTGGTTTCTCATGTCTTATCTCGCTGTTTACACACTAAGTACATAACATAGTACTGCTCCACGTCATGTCTTCTTCCTAACCGCCCCTTCCACACGACGACCGACGCCTCGATGTATACACCATGTTCATGACCGACGACGGTGTTAGTTGGCGTCATTCGCATTGCTGTAAGGCTGCCACCAAACCTGTCTAATAAAGCCTTACAATCGATCGATCCGTCAGTTCTAACGACTGGGGCAAGATAGGGCAAGATTCGATGGACAAAGATCGCGCTGCATGCACCAACAAATGACTTTGCCTTACATGCTGATCCCACTCGTAAATTCAAAATCAGATTTCTTGGGGCTATATCCTCGACTCGGCCCCCAGAATGTAATTTTACCTGGTGTTTTACGAGGATCACACCCTCGAAAGTCAGGCCCCAAGGAAGACGTTTATGGCACACTGGAAAGTCCTCTTACAGTATTTGGAAAATGTCACTGATAACATGGTTCCATGATATGTGACTTTCTCCTCGACCATACATACGTAACATTCTTTTTCTGCTCTATCGCTTGTGACGAGGCCCCCCACAACGCTGGGATGTCCGAGTTGGTCCAAGGAGCCAGATTTAAGTAGGGCCTTTGTGCTCGATGATTCCTGGTAGGGAAACCTGCGTGGGTTCGAACCCCACTCCCAGCACTACTTTCCCCTTGATAGCTCAGTTGGAAGAGCGACAGACTGTAATAGGCAACTGTGGGTGCGTAGTCGCATCTGTAGGTCACCGGTTCGAACCCGGTTCGAGGGAATCCTTTTTGATGGTTGATCTTCGCCTTCAAGAATGATTACAACTCCAGCGCAATTTTTTTATAGCAAGTAGAAGACTCAGGTTGTAAGGTGTTTCAGGCCTGTGGTTTGTGTTGAGGCTTACACTATCCCCTCATACGAAGGGAGGTGTTACACAAGTGATACGTGTGAGAACCAGATGTGAAACATGTAGGAAAAGATGAGACATGTGAGAGTGGGGTGTGAAACATGTAGGAGAGAGAAGAAATGTGTAAAGAGAAGAAGGTTGTAGATATTCGTGATAGCCCTAGACATATAAATAGCTGTGCTGACGGCGGGACCAGAATTTCCTCGTCATCCTGGACATGGAGATTCTGAGTCTAACTGTGCCTCCGAACGCCGTCGGCACACATTAGTTACAACAGTTTTCAATGCCTGTCTGCATGTTTGGGAGATGATGGGCAGGGGCTGATCCTTTCATGCCCCTAAGCTACCACTGTAAGGTTTACCAAGTTGAAAAATGTGACTGGCGCATTATGATAAGTACCAAGAGACAGTAAAACTTCCACCTACTACATGTATAGTTACGTAACTTTGGCTTGCATTCTGACATGTGAAATTTGAATCAATGTGCCACACACACAACAAGACCTCAGACAGGCTACATATATAGCAGCGAGTACGTAAGTTCCAAGTATCAGCGGCGATACTTCGGGAACCGGAACGGGATGGACTTCAACTGATGATGAGGTGGAAGTCCTTCCGTTCCGGGTTAAGAGTTCTCGAAGCCGACTGTGCCGCAGTCGTGACACCTCTGTGACACCCTGGCCACAACAACATAATACAGCTGATGACGCAATGAGGACGCAGTCTGCGCTCACCAGCAGGTGTATTGGCCCGCAGTGTGGGATCAGCCACCGCCACTGAAACCTCCTTTGGCCTTTTATGGGTCAACAACCCTCTTGAGGCCCACTCAGAAATGCCAAAAGCTCACAAAGATGTCCTGAAATGTCACCTATCAGGCCATCATCTCACAAAAAAACACATGTCCAAAAATACCAAGAAACAAGACTTCGACAACGTTGCTATTTGTTTCCTGAAAATCATACCAATGATCAAATATATGAATCATCTGTTACACTACCACCAGAGTTACATTCCTTGACTTTTAATCAATCCCACAATCATTCTCATCAGACCAAACAAGTTATCTTTTGTAATTCAGTAAAAATAAATAAATAGGCTTGTAAAAGATGTAATTAAGCACTTTCAAACCTTCAGACAAACATTTGATCACCAATTCTAACATTTTGCACACTTTCACAGAATACGCAGAAGCCACATCATGGTGTGACAAACATCAGAAACCAATACCCCATGAACTTGCGGCTGCTAGAAAAAAACTAATACTTTACAGGCGGAATATGAATTGAGTTCCTCAGCTTAGATTGATGCTCACGCTGAGAAGTACTATCCTCTAAACCAGAAAAAGTTTCAGGTTCAGAGTCTCGGGGAACTCGCGGGGGTCGGGCGAAGCCAAAACCACGGAGCCTCGGGCCCGAGCCAAAGCTTCGAAGCGAAGAAATGGTCTTGAGATCGGGTCGAGTATTCTGCGTCCTGTCCCCTCTCAAAGATGATTTTCCAGATCGATGACCTCGAGGTACGGATTTTATTCCCTCCTCCTAGCCTATCCAGAATCGCGCTGACGGTGGAGAACTGGATCGGGGTCAGATTATTTTTCCGTATGACAAAATTTATCCAGGTATGAGACTCAGTTGAGGTTTTGTTTATCAATCAATCGCTGACGATGACGTTCTTATGGACAGAGCAATATGCCTACGTGCGAGCCTACCTAGCTCTTTCAACGCTTTAAATAGCTTACCATTGATGATAAAACAGATGTCCGATCTCAAACGCACGCTTGACATTGGCGGTCACTGCGTGCTCGAGATGCCCTCAGGGACAGGCAAGACGATCTCCCTTCTCTCGCTCATTGTGGCCTACCAGCAACATTATCCCGAGGAACGCAAACTGGTCTACTGCTCCCGTACTGTTCCAGAAATTGAGAAGGCACTGATTGAGTTGAAGCGGCTGATGGCCTACCGTGCCACCCAACTACGACTCCGAGGCGGTCCGAAAGCCGCCGAGGCCGAGGAACACTTCCTTGGGATCGGTCTTACGAGTCGTAAGAACCTCTGCATTCATCCAGAGGTGAGCCTCGCCTTGATTTCATTACACAAGTCTTCTTTGACCTCCCACCGACTCATCCTAAAGCCACATAACGACTGGCTTGGCTTTCGGTCTCGTTTTCTTTGCATAGGTCTCCAGGGAGAAGAAAGGCAAAGTCGTCGACGCGCGTTGCCGTGACTTGACATCTGCATGGGCGTGTGAGCAGGGTCGCGCAAATCCTGGTTCCGTGCCTCTCTGTGACTTCCACGAAGTTGGTCTCACATTCGCGATCGAAGTTTTTGTGGATGGCATTTGCTTAACGAATTTTCGCCTGTACGCCCCTGATCTACCAGAAACTCGGTGAACTAGAACCCGGTGAATTGATCCCACGTGGGGTGTGGACTTTGGATGAGATCACAAACTACGGTCATCAGCAAGGGATCTGTCCATACTTCGCTGTCAGAAGGATGGTAAGTAGTTCCTTACCACTCTCCAGCCAAGCTTCACACTGATCATTGCGCACAGTTGACTTACGCAAATGTAGTGATATACTCCTTTCACTACCTACTCGACCCAAAAGTAGCAACCCAAGTCTCCAAAGAGATCTCGCCGAACTCGATCGTCGTTTTCGATGAAGCCCACAACATCGACAACGTTTGCATCGAGTCACTTTCTATAGATCTTAACAAGGGCATTCTCGAGAACGCGGGGAGGAGCATTGTGAATTTAGAAGACAAGATCCGAGTGATCAAGCAGACGGATGCGGGAAAGCTGCAGAGCGAGTATGAGCGTCTCGTACGCGGACTACAGAATTCTGAAGTTGTCGAAGATGAGGATGAAGCAGGAATCATTGCTACGCCAGGTGCGAGCTTGGTTTCGATTATGAGATTTCAAAAAGTCATCTCTGACTTCCTCTTTAACGTCCAAAGTCTTGCCAGATGATCTCTTACAGGAGGCTATTCCGGGCAATATTCGACGCGCTGAACATTTCACAGCCTTCCTGACCCGCTTTGTTGAATACCTCAAAGTAAGTTCGCTTCATTTCAACTGTTGCCCAAATATTGTATTAATGCAAATTCACATTCTTCAGACGCGAATGAGAGTGCTGCACGTAGTAGCTGAGACCCCACCGTCATTCCTCCAGCACCTCAAAGACCTCACCTTTATCGACCGCAAGCCGTTGCGATTCTGCTCCGAGCGCCTCACGAGCTTGATCCGCACACTTGAGCTTACTCAATTGGATCAGTATAGTGCTTTGCAGAAAGTCGCAAGCTTTGCGACCTTGGTGGCAACATATGAAAAAGGTTGGTGCCACTTCTTTGACTACTGTAGTTCCAGATTACCAATATGAATTCAGTGGCCAATAAACTGATCAGGAGCCTGGCCAAGGTTTTCTGTTAATCTTGGAGCCGTTTGAGACCGATAATGCTACCGTGCCCAATCCAGTCTTTCATCTAACGTACGTCTGCTGCATGTGTCTTTTGATTCTCCTAACAATGAATATCCCTTGCGAAAATTTGCCTGATGCCTGAAGTGTTGGGTGCGTCGAATCAGCTGTCTAGATGCCTCACTAGCCATCAAACCTGTCTTTGAGCGCTTCAGTAGCGTGGTCATCACCTCGGGTACCATCAGCCCGTTAGATATGTATCCCAAAATGCTCGGCTTCGAGTCCGCTGTTCAAGAGTCCTATGCTATGACACTCACCCGGAACTGCTTCTTGCCGCTGGTCATCACGCGTGGGAGTGATCAAGTGGCCATCTCGTCCAGGTTTGAAGTTCGCAACGGTTGGTACCTGTCAGCCTCGCCCTGTGTCTTCACTAGCATTACTTACAATAAGGTCTTTCCTGCCCTCAGATCCCTCGGTCGTGCGCAATTTTGGGACAGTACTGATCGATTATTGCAAGATCGTACCCGACGGCATTGTTGCTTTTTTTCCATCTTACCTCTACATGGAGTCCATCGTAGCCGCCTGGCATGATATGGTAAGTGCCATGCCCTCTTCAGCAGATCAAGAATAGATATTGACTTCTCTCATTCAAAAAAGGGCATTCTGAAAGAGGTTTGGAAATACAAGCTGATTTTCGTCGAGACACCAGATGCGGTAGAGACAAGCATTGCCTTGGAGAATTATAGAAGGGCGTGCGATAATGGTAAAGGCGCGGTGCTGTTGTCAGTCGCACGGGGTAAAGTGTCGGAAGGAATCGATTTCGATCATAATGTTGCGTGTTGATTTCCTTTGTAACTCGTTTCTTCTGTCAAAGCTGGCATTCAAGTTTGGTTGTTCGACTTTTAGTACGGACGAGCGGTGATTATGTTCGGAATTCCGTATCAGTATACGGAGAGTCGGATTCTTAAGGCTCGGCTCGAGTTTCTCCGAGATAACTACCGAAGTCAGTCCCTCTCACCTGACATCTTCTCGTAGCATATTCTCATGTGAAATCACTGGAATTCGTTGGTATTTCCGTGATGTTGTTACATTGTTTGACTCAACAGTTCGAGAAAATGATTACTTAACGTTTGATGCGATGAGGCACGCGGCGCAGTGTGTGGGAAGAGTGTTGAGAGGAAAGACAGATTACGGGCTGATGATCTTTGCCGATAAGGTCGGTCAGCTTTTCACTTCCTACACGTGACTCGATTAGGGGGACTGACTTCGACGCGATGTGGTGTGATACCAGCGATTCGCAAAGGCTGATAAACGAGCCAAGTTACCTAAATGGATTAATGCATATATCACTGAGACAGCCACAAATTTATGTAAGATAATTTGGCTTGTTTTTTCTTGGTTTCCCGACAGTTTTGCCACCTGTTCAATGACTGACTCTCCCTTGCTTGGCAAAGCTACGGACATGG